GACACGTGACCTGCGCTCAGAGCAAACAGTTGACACGCATGCTAATAGCTAATTATGAACTATGGGGATTTATTTACCTGGAAAAGCTATTAGCCTCCCAAGACCTCCATTGCCATCATCACCAAATTAACTTCCCCGTACAGCTTGAGGGAGGAAGAGCGAGACGGAAAGAGATACAGTAGATCCTGTTGGAAAAAGGAAAGGAAACAAAACATGAGCAGTTTAGACCTGTTTAAATTTCAAAATGGATTTAAAGCTGTAGTGCGTGATTTCTAGTGACACCGTTTCAGTCGCCTGACCTAGAAATAAATAAATGAAATAACTTAGGATGGATGGATGGATGGGTGGGTGGATGGATGGATGGATGGATGATGGATGGGTGGATGAACAGACGGGTGGATGGGTGGATGAACAGACGGGTGGATGGGTGGATGGATGGATGGATGGATGGGTGGATGATGGATGGGTGGATGAACAGACGGGTGGATGGATGGATGGATGGATGGATGGATGGGTGGATGATGGATGGGTGGATGAACAGACGGGTGGATGGATGGATGAATGGATGGATGGATGGGTGGATGAACAGGCGGGTGGATGGGTGGATGGATGGATGGATGGATGGGTGGATGATGGATGGGTGGATGAACAGACGGGTGGATGGATGGATGAATGGATGGATGGATGGGTGGATGAACAGGCGGGTGGATGGGTGGATGATGGATGGGTGGATGAACAGACGGGTGGATGGATGAATGAATGGATGGATGGATGGGTGGATGAACAGGCGGGTGGATGGGTGGATGGATGGATGGATGGATGGATGGATGGATGGATGGATGGGTGGATGGATGAATGGGTGGATGGATGAATGGGTGGATGGGTGGATGGGTGGATAAACAGACGGGTGGATGGGTGGATGGATGGATGGATGATGGATGGATGGATGGGTGTATGGACGGATGGATGATGGATGGATGGATGATTGGATGGATGGATGGGTGTATGGATGGATGAATATGTCGATGTATGGATGGATGAATATGTAGATGGACAGACGGATGGATGGATGGGTGGATGGATGGATGGATGGGTAGATGGATGGATGGGTGTATGGACGGATGGATGAATGGATGATTGGATGGATGGATGGGTGTATGGATGGATGAATATGTCGATGTATGGATGGATGAATATGTAGATGGACGGACGGATGGATGGATGGGTAGATGGATGGATGGATGGGTGGGTGGATGGATGGGTGGATGGATGGACTGATAGGTGAATGGGTGGCTGAATTGAAGGATGAATATGTGGATGGACAGAAGGATGGATGGTGGATGTGTGGATGGATGATGGACAGAAAGATGGGTGGATGGATGGACAGATGGGTGGCTGGACGGGTGGATGGGTGGGTGGGTGGATGGACAGATGGGTGGATGGCAGATGGATGTGTGGATGGATTTGAAAACAAAAGAAGAAAATTAGGAGAAAAAAATTATCTGCTTTCCAAACAGTGACTATAGTATGCTTCATTGTCACATTACCTCATCATCACATGTTTAATTATCATCTGGGAATTAAAAAAAAGCTTACTTCGCATTTATCAGGGTCAAGAACAAGTTGAGAGCATTGCATTATGGGATCCCATATCTCATTGAACACTGCATATTTTAAGGCGCTTTTCCACTGCATGGTACGGTACGGCTCGCTTTAAATGGTACCATCTCTATTGAGGTTCCAAGCGTACCGTACCGACACTAAAATGTGACGTGAATACACTGCAGAACACTGATTGACATGAAACCAGCGTCATTGTATTTGCGAGACATCAAACCCGCTAGAGACTATAGAAACCCGGTCAGACATAATCCCACACACTGAAGCGGTACTAACTGCAGTGGAAAAGCGGCATTAGTAAATAGTCATCCAGGTATTACATATAAAACGCTCCCACAAGATGGGCGACACCTGCAGAATACGATTTAGTTTTTTTGTGTGAACTATCCAGTACTTAGAAGGCGGTCACCAGTTAAACCAGCCGGCCTTTGTGAGGTTTTCTCAGCACTAGAGAGAAGGAGAAAATAGGTAATGATGGAGAGAGAAATTTCAAGAGCGATAAAGAGATACAAAGGGAGCGAGAGAATGTGCTCTTCGAGGCATGACTGCTTCAGGTGTCAGTGGGCTGAAGCCAGTCCAGACAGGGCCATTATCTCTGATCCCCCCTGACCGAGCCCAGGTCCACTGAGGAGGGTTCAACCCACCGTGGTGATTTCATTTCTCTACGTGACTGATTATTTCCCTGACTGAACAGTCCTGTCAAAAGTCCTTTGGCGCTACAGCGGACATATTAAGAAGATCGATTTCCACCGGACGCTCGAGGCGCCAGACCTCAGGACCACTTAACACCTGTGTGTGAGCGGACGGCCCGCGCTTTACCTGTAACCTTGATGTCAAGCTGGAAGAGAGGCTATTTGGAAGCAAGAGCGCAGCGTGAGGAAGCTTTGATTTAGATCCTTTAACTTTCACCTGCTGTCGTGGAGTATTGTAAAGTGAGCTGCACTGCTACAAAAAAAAAATAAATAGGATTTTTGTCTCATTTTACAGTACAAACATCTACTCTTGAGTCTACATACATTTACTTTAAGTAAAATGAGCCTATAAAGTAGGCCCCTGTGGTGAAAATCAAGCTTTTAATGTTGTTTATATGTCTAGTTTTTAATATGCTTTAACAGTGTTGTAGTACTCGAGACTCGGACTCGTCTCGGACTCGGTCTCGAGACCATATTTTAATGGTCTTGGTCTTGTCATGGATTCGTGTCCATTTGGACTCGGAATTGACTCGTCCACGAACATTTTTTTTTTTAGGACTCGGAATTATTCCCGAGTCCACTCGAGTTCAATTAAAAATATTTTCATGATTATTAATTTATGTTAATAAAATATTTCTTTAAATTGATTGAAACGCCCAGTGATTGGTGATTTTCTAGTGCGCAACTGCGCATGACAAATTGTAATAAAATTACTTTTAACACCACCTACTATGTGGCCTTTTACCCTAAACTGATCATATTTTTTAAACTCTAAGTAAATTCAGTAAAAAAAAAAAAAAAGGATTTCTCTAAGTAAATAAAAGTAAATTAGGTAATCAACCCTCACTGGTCTCGGTCTCGACTCGGACTCGACTCTCTCTGGTCTCGGTGTCGACTCGGACTCGAGTGAGGTGGTCTCGATTACAACACTGTGCTTTAAGACAAATCATTTGTAAATTCATTTTTCTCCACAAAACGGCAGTGAACCAAAGACAGCCTCAAAAACACGGTTTAAAATCGCTGACGTCACGTTTCTGACGTCACAATCAAACTACCTTGTAGTGTGGAGGGTGGGTAGCTTTAGCATTTTGTTAACAGCGAACTAGCAGGGGAATATCAAGAGAAGTCAGGTTATCACGGTATTTTTTTCTGTTGATATGAAAAATCGGGTAGATTTAGCAATATAGCAGACATTATGTAAATTACAATGTTATGATGAACTATGCCTTTCTCCACGGACGTTCTGTGTTGTTCAAAGCGTTTCTGATGATGATTGTTAGGCAGACTGTGGCGAACGGGAATTATTATCATTATTAGCAACACATTATTAGCTGTTTGATAACATAGTCAGCAAAAGGCTTATCATTAATTACCGTTATGTGTTCGACGTTGTAAAGAGCGATAGCATTTAATGTGCAGCGTTGTTTACCTCAGGAAGTGAATCTCCGAGATGGCGCGAGTGGGGGAGGGGCAATTTGCATATTCATAAAACAGCTATGGCTAATTGAAGTAAAGGTGTCGAGTTATACTTCATGCCTTAAAATACCTTCAATGTGTTTTTTTTTCACAAGAGAAATCGTTTAAACATGGTTAACATGTAAATTTTGGTGTTCAAAGTTAAGATTTATATTTGTACAGTGCTTTTCACAATATTGCCTACACATTGTTTCAAAGCAGCTTTACAGAAAATGCACTACACCACATTAATAAATAAATAAATAAAATTAAGGTGAATTTATGCTTAATGAAAGAAAAAACAGCTAATGGGATTAGAAAAATAAACTTGATTTAAAAAGGAAAACAATTTTTTTTTACCCCATTGGCAGATACTTTTTTTCTTGTTTTTTTAAGCATCAAGTCACTTAATTGATGCATTTTGATGTAACAATACTTGTAATCTGCGTCATCATTAAATGTATCTTGATTTAAGAATGTTTAGATATTTTGTATTGGAAAACGAGCCAAAAATACTGAGGAAGGAAGTCATTTTTTGGCAGTGATCCTTCTCTGCTTTATATACGAGAGACAGCTGGTTCTTCAAAAATTTCAGTTCTTAATAAACAAAGAGCAGATCTACATTAATATTCTTACTTTTTGAAATGCTCTGAAAACCAGCTAATCCTCTATGTTAGCTTGATACCCAACAAACAAACAAACAAACACCCGAGCACATAACTGTACATTTACGATATTTACAAAATGTGTTTGGGTGTTTGGGAAAATGAATCGTCGAACGAATCATTTGCGAGTCGTTGAGCAAATCAGTTAAAAATAAATGCATATTATAAGACAAATAAAGTGTTTTTTATCCTTGCATGCGCGTTAAACTGCTTTTGGGAACTCCTAAAACTAAAATAGGAACATTTCAAATGCTATGATAGGGACTCTTTAAATATTATAGACTCAGCAAAAATACAGCTATCATACAAACCACAGGAAGGACAATGTGGTCAATATATGAATGCTTTAACAAGCAATTAACAAAAACACCTAAACACAATCAGAGAGAGGTATGGGAAAAGACATGACATAAAAACAACTTGACCCACATAACCTTCAGTATTTGTGCAGGATATATTCTCTCTCTCTCTGTGTGTGTGTGTGTGTGTGTGTGTGTCAAAGGAAGGTGCTGACCAAAATGAAAGGCTGAAATCGAACATGCACCTATTTTTTTCACAAACACACACACTCATCCACCCTGTTCCCAGCACATACACACTCAAGGTTGGATCCACCTGATTGCATGTGATTGCTTTAATACAGTTGTGGATGTGACAGATAAAAGAGTGTGTTGCACTTCTGTGCCGTTCTGAGCCGTGTATCGCCGTCCACAATGCGGTGTGTAAATATTTGATGCTCCTGCGGCTCTGAGTTCAGTTCTCCGTACGGTTCAGTCGTGACGCCGCGGCCCGAGCACTCCACACTAAAAGCTGCAACTTACAAAAAGACAAATACAAGGAAATGGCTTATGAATTAGAAATCAGACCATGTGCAGTAAAAGCACACAGCTTCTCGTCAGCTCAGATTGAGTTTTTATGAGGCATTCGGAGCGAATACTTATAAACAGCTGTGTGTGTGTGTGTGTGTGAGACACGTTCTCTCAACACACGTGTGAATTAACTTAAGGCAAACAGTTTATGAATGCATGCATACACACTCAGACAGATAGATAGATAGATAGATAGATAGATAGATAGATAGATAGATAGATAGATAGATAGATAGATAGATAGATAGATAGATAGATAGATAGATAGATAGATAGATAGATAGATAGACAGACAGACAGATAGACAGTAAGATAGACAGACAGACAGACAGATAGATAGATAGACAGTAAGATAGATAGACAGATAGATAGATAGATAGATAGACAGACAGATAGATAGTAAGATAGATAGATAGATAGATAGATAGATAGATAGATAGATAGATAGATAGATAGATAGATAGACAGTAAGATAGACAGACAGACAGATAGATAGATAGATAGATAGATAGATAGATAGATAGATAGATAGATAGATAGATAGATAGATAGATAGATAGATAGATAGATAGATAGATAGATAGACAGACAGATAGATAGATAGATAGACAGTAAGATAGACAGTAAGACAGACAGATAGATAGACAGTAAGACAGACAGACAGATAGATAGATAGATAGATAGATAGATAGATAGATAGATAGATAGATAGATAGACAGTAAGACAGACAGACAGATAGATAGATAGATAGACAGTAAGATAGACAGTAAGACAGACAGATAGATAGACAGTAAGACAGACAGACAGATAGATAGATAGATAGATAGACAGATAGATAGATAGATAATTCGATATTAAATTAGGTTAGATGTTAGCCTAACATGGTTAGTTTAATATAAATTTTTCCACCCCAACAGATAAATAGACCTAAATAAACTTTAAACTAAAATAATTGTTTATTATTATTATTATTATTATTATTATGCGTGTATATGTCATAAATGTGTATGTTTAGTTTTATTAATGCTTCAGCAACGTAAAGTTTCCTTCATGCCAATAAAGCTGATAGATTTGAATCAACACATTTGCAGAGAGTTATGATGTTGATGCATCTTTTCCACCGCATTTACTCTTCAGTCCGTATTTATTTCCTCGGCTGTAATGCCTTTATTTCCCTTCAGGGTTTAATAAAGTTTTATGTTTTCATATATGACATCCTCACATAACAATCCTTTACGACTTAAATAGAGCATTAAAACATGCAAAGAATCTTCCCAGCAGCACAGGAGAGGTTACCCCAAAATAATGGGGTACGGAGGAAACCCGTGCGAGATTCATGAACGTGTCCGAGGCCTCAGGGACAGAGACAAAGTGACGGACGAGTGAGGTGGACCCCTCAAACACTCGGTCAAGGAACAGCATGATCAACTTCACCACTAAAGCCCTCCGGAAACGGCAGTCGAAGCGAGCGGAGCGAGACGCGTTTATGCTGTTTGGACAGAGCCGCGGGAGACTCGTCCTCCAGGTGCTTTTCTCTCTAAACTGAAGGATTTGTCTCTCACTGTTGCAGTCATCGCCCGAGGACCTGGTCCTACATGACATGGCCTCCTTTCTTTCTCTCCCCAACCGTTTTTCAATATGATGTTTCTCTTCCCACATTCCCCTAACTCTCATTTTTTTCTTCGCCAGTCAGCCATTAACGGTCATTTATTCACTATCAGCAAAAAGTACAACCCACATTACACCAAGAAAAATGAATTACTGTAGAATAATGGCCTGGCAGCTTCCAAAAACACCAAAATAGAATAAAATGTAATCCTTTGATATCTGCACTGTATAAAAAATGATTTTAACGGTAAAATACTTTTAATCGGTTAAAGGGGTGGTAGAGTATAATTTCACTTTTCTAGCTTTAGTTTGTGTATAATGTTGCTGTTTGAGCATAAACAAAATTATCAAAGTTACAACGAGAAATGCAGTGGTGGAATGTAACGAAGTACAAATACTTTGTTACTTTACTTAAGTAGAATAAATAGTGCATACTTTTTACTTTGTTACATTTTGCAGCAATTATTCTACTTTCTACTCCACTACATTTCTACAACTTCTGTTATATTTTCATTACATTTTCGGATCAGTTTTTTCCCTGCCAAAACGTAATCTGACCGTCCGTTCGTTGCACGTTTGTCTCACCAGTGACGTTTGGTTGCCATAGAAATATCAACCCAGTCATACTAAATGCGTCTCGCAAGCAGTGTGTTTATCGTGCGATTTATACGTGAAAATTTGCTTTTACTTGCATAGGAAACGCACCGTGTGTAATATACGTTTGGTTAGGATTATGGCAAGCCAAGAGGTTCAGAATTACACCATAAATTAATCGCGTTTACTGCCAAACATAGTTATTAATATATAGTAAGGATAAGCATTGTTTATATTGCCTAATTGCAAGCTTGTTTCAGAAATGGTGACATTTTTTTCCATCATTATTGAACATCATTATAGGAGTATTAGGTTGAATGAGTTAGAATTAAATGTTTTATTAATCATTAGAAAATGGTCATTAAGAGAATAAATTTTTATGCAAGTACTTTTACTTTTAATACTTAAAGTACATTTAAAATCAGGTACTTTTTACTTAAGTATGGTTGTCATTGTGTTACTTCTACTTTTACTAAAGTAAATATTGATCTGGCTATTTGTACTTTTACTTAAGTACTGAGATTCAGTACTTCCTCCACCACTGAAGAAAAGGACAACAAACGATTGGAGCTTCCTCCTGGGTTAGTGATGTCACCAACCCTAAAATTTGCATAAGCCCAGGAAGAGTGTTTGTATTAGAGTACATTTGTGAGTCAGCTCAAACTTTAGCATCCGTCTTTTCACACGCAGAAGAAAGTTACTCTGTGTGCATCTCACAACAGTTCCTATACGAGCGATTTATGACAGAATACGCTAAATGGAGATAGTTAACTCCACATCAGAAACATAAATTCGTCAACTAACCTTCAGAGACGTCCTGTTGCATTCCACATGTTGTCACTTCTTCTTGAGTCTTTCCATCTTTGTCCGACTCCATTTTAACCTTAAAGGGAGAACAGTTTCTGTCATTTTAGTGTGTCTGCGTGAGGAAATCGCAGAGCTCTTGAAACCCCGCCCTCTGCAGCAGCTCATTTGCATTTAAAGGGCCAGGCACAAAACACCTTCAAAAAGTGACTTTGACATGCCATTTAAAAATATCTGTGGGGTATTTTGTGCTAAAACTTCACACACACAGTCTGAGGACATCAGAGATTTATTTTACATCATGTGAAAATTTTACATATTGTTTTTGTATTGCATACGGTGAATAACTGTGACATACACTGTTAAAAATAACCGTGATTTTAACGGTAAAAGACTGTAAAAATGCTACAGAGCAAAACTATTAATTGGTAAACAGAAAGTTTCCGTACTATACACGGTAAATAACTGTGATATAATTTTACAGTAAAATACCGTTAAATTTCCAGTTTTTGAACGTGAAAAAGAACAACTCATTGTATAATTTACAGTGAAAACCCGTAAATTGACATTCCCACAATTCCCTGTGTGACACTTCATATTTTATGTATTTTTGTTGAAATAACTATAGTTCCCTCATAGTTTTATTGGGGTTTTTTTCTAATCAGTTATGTACATTAGGGTTTTATGTTACATTTGATGTTGTTAAATTAATGTTAATTGCATTTTTTTAATTTCATGTGTGTTACCATGATAGTGCTTAATGTTTGTGTAGCTTCTTTACATAAGTATTGCTTTATACAAGTGTTCACTTGTGATGAGCTGTGATTGCTCATGTAACTCATCACTGCTGTGATGATTGTTGGTTGTCAGTGTATCAATACATCAATAAGTTGGTAAATCCACATTTTATCAGAAAATAAAACTTACTTCATTAAATTTTAAGTTAAGTCTGTAAAACCATTAATGTTCCTACCATATTTTTAATGGTAAAGTTCTGGCAACCACAGCTGCCGTTTTTTTACCGTCAAATTTACGGTTTATTTTTTACAGTGTATCTAAACGTTTATTTTAAACCGACTTTAAAACAGAAACGGCCATTATAAATCTTGGAAGAGCCCGTACATTTTTTAATATAACTCCGATGGTATGAAAGAAGAATGTCATACACACACCTAGGGTGAGTAAATCATGGGCTAATCCCTTTAATATATGCATGATAACTAGTTAATTGTGAGAATTGGACCCTAAACTAAAATGTTACTGTACTTCCTTATAGATTCAAATTACAATTTCTATTATCTACCTTATGTTTAGGGTTCGAATTCAAATTCAGGAATCGAATTGGAATTGAAAAGGCACTACTCTTGCAACACTGATAACCAGATAATCAGCTTACTGTTTTTTGTTTTGTTTTTACGGTAGTGGTAACAGGTATGGTAATGCCGGGACTGAGTGGGCGGGGTGCCAGCGGGAAGGATCCGCCTCCAGCAGGTGGTTCGGTAGCAGTGGTGCTCATTGGCTCTTCCTTAGGGCATAAACGCACACACACACACACACACACAGTGTGCAACTATGCAGACTTCTCCTGTAGGCCCAAGGCTGCCTCACAGGGGTGACAAGCGCTGACTGAGAACTCTGTAATTGGAATGACCCTGAACTCACTCGAACACACACACACACACACACACACACACCTCGTCTCCTGCTTTAGATAGATTGTCAAACTCCCAACCTCCCGCTGCTCATTTGCTGATGTGCATGACCGTGTCCAAGAGGCAGCAGCACTTGAGACGCAACCAAATTGATGGAGCTTCAGTAAATGTGTGTGTGTGTGTGTGTGTGTGTGGGCCTTTACACGAGGAGGGGCCGTAAAGTGATTTGCGATATGACACGCTCTGCTCGAGTAAGAGGGAATGGAGTGTGTTTCTCGGGTCTTTGGGAATCATTCCGCACCTGTTACAGAAGCGCAATCAAAGGCTGACGCACGCTAGTTCAGCACTTTTTATATAAGAGCGAAATCTAATGAAATCTGACAGGTTAGACCAACAGACACAAAATTTGTGCAAGTCAGAGTCAAATCTGTTTTGATGGAAAAGTCTTGTTGGAAAAATCTTGACTCAGACCTTACTAATAAATTGTTGTTGAATAAACCATGTCTTCTTAAAATTTATCAGCTAAAAATATGCACAAGTGAGGCTAGTGGTGAAATACGAGCAGAGAAGGAAAACAGTAACTGCAGGGTTTCCCAAACTTGGGTTTGCGATTTGATGAAAAACTAAGGAAAATTTTTAAAGATGAACCAAAAAGAAAGCCATCAGTAGGTTTACCCAAGTCATCAGAGGACTGTAAACAAAAAAGAGCTTGTTAAACTATAAAACAGATATATTTTGATCGCATGACATTTTGATCATTAAAGTGCTGATAAAAGTTGATACTCAGATTTTCCCTTGCGTCACTCACTCCATGTGTCATGAGAACAGCTTACCTGTGGTAAAATCATTGAGTTACAACTTCAATAAACAATTTCAAATTTAAATACATTTTCTGAAAGCACCAAACAGGTTGGAATTGGTTACTTCCAACATCTCATTATTTAGCTTATTTAGCTAGTTATTATAATCTCAGCAATTTAACTTAAATGTAAAAATTTTAAACACATTAAACAATTTACTTGAATTTAAGGCCTAGAAATAACGATAACAAGATTAGGCTGCTGTTCTGTTAATTCTAACTCTGTCGCTTTAAATACTCAACCTTTTTTAAACATGGTGAATTCTGATTGGCTGTAAATGTTTTCAGTGTTTATCGTTATGAAAGTGATTCCAAAGTCGTTCTAGTTGTGTTTCGTTGTACTATTCTCATAGAATTATTATCATCTTTTTATTCTCATATTAAGTACTATCGTCTATTATTCGTTCGTTATCGTCCTTGTATGGGCTTTTAATCTTTAAAACAATTGGGATAGCTCACGTCACAAGTTTGGAAGGAGTAGGACGGAATATAAATTATTAGGTGAATATCCCTTTAAAAGTGTCTTTATGCTTCTCGGCCCGACGTGACGGTTATTTGGATTCTCTTTCCTCACTAAAAGTGAAAATGTTACACAAAAACAAAACAATGACAGCCAATCAGAGCGCATTTTATATTTAATGTGATTGTGTGGAGCGGGATGTTTCTTCTGAAAACGGACTTCGAAGACACAAACCCATTTCTATAAAGTAAATATTAACCCGAGCGTATTAACTACACGTAAGAAGGGTGTCAGGAACGTTTATCTATTATTTGTGTGATTTTGTTAACTAAACTTACCTGAAATCATTGAAAACAAGCGAGAGACGTTAGTTTTGCTGTTCATCCGTGTCGATGACGTTTCCTCGTTTCCGTCTGATCACGCGCGCTCCTGTCTTTGTTTGTTTACGCGCACGCGCATTACCATACACGGCGAAGGCACGCAGCATTTAAATAAACATCTAGAATTATAACATTTTAAATCATGATTTTAAAACTCATTGTGTAGCTCTATGACCCATTCACTTCTATAGTCTTTTTTTACCTTAAAAAATGAAAAATGAATAGTTTTACTAAGATAATAATAATCTTATTATATAGGCTAATCATAAATGAAACATGGGTAAGCAGAAGACATTTAAATATACATATATGTACTGTAGGCTATATAACTATACGATTATTTATGACATTAAGATTGTTCTATTAAGAGCATGGTTTTCTTCTACAAAACTATATTAATCATGGTTACTGTATAAACACCATGGTTATTTTCATGGTTTTACTACAAAACCCATGGTTCATGGCTACTATGGTTTTACTACAAAAACCACGGTTAAAACCATAGTAAAACCATGGATTGTTTGTAGTTACTATGGTTTTACTGGAAAAACCATAGTTAAACCATTAGGCTACTACAAAAAAACAGTTAGCTACTACAAAAAAAAAATTTAAAAAAAATAGTTAATTTTCGTGAGGGTTGACCCGCTCTATAAACCAAATCAAAATTCCCTTTGTCGTGGTTTTAACGGATTGGGACAAAAAGAGAGTTTTAACACCTGTCGTTCTTCTCTCACGTCACGGTTTTCAGCCGCGAGGACCTCTCGGTTTCCACACACGTGAGGTTACGGTACAGATGCTGATTTTAGCGAGACATCTGTCTTTAAAGCTTTCCTCTGAGGCACAAGCCTTTGCAAGATTCTCGCGGGCGCGTTTGTCTGCCGTTTTCTGTGCAGTTTTAGAAGTTGTCAAGATGGTGAGGTTCTGGTTACAGACCACCTATTTCCATCTGGCTCTCACCTTCGCTGTCAGATCCAGCTCCCTTCCACTCACGTCGTTATTCCTTCATCTTTATTCTGTGGAAAAGCATCTGTTGATGGATTTTTGGTTAGCGGTGCTTGTAAACGCATCACGTTTTTGCTTCGCCGTGTTGCATTTAATTAGGGATTGCACTTTTTCTTGTGTTTTCGAGGAGCTCGCGCACTGGGCCATCGAACAGATATAATTTTACATTTAAATTGAATCTTCTGTTTGAGTAATTGGGCCAATCCCACATCGTTATTTCCCTTGAAACTGCGGCGCTCAGTTTATCTGTAGATTTGTTATTATTTTATCATGCGAAGCGGAATAATAATTCTCTCTCTTGGTTTGCGATGGATGCAGCCGTTCGTCTGGATTTACCGGAGGAGATGGAGCTGTCAGAGCTTCTGTACTCACTCACAACCGGCCATGTCTCTGCTTTGAGCTGAAGAAAAGAGGAAAAGCAGGGGATGGAAATGAATTCTCTCCTCCCTGATGGTGAAATGTCAGAGAGTGCAGTCGGTTAGCGGCGACAATGAGGGCCCTTATCACCTGCTAATTGAAATCCAATGAGGTGTGAAAGAACCCTTTAAAAAAATTCACAATCAACAGGACCATCACGCTTAGCCACAACCAGAGAGAGAGAGAGAGAGAGAGTAGTCATTTCATTTTGACGTCTCTCCCTCTTGTTAAAGATCCATCACTGCCCATTATTGCGTGAGATTGTGTTTCACGGCGCCTGTGTCTCATCCAGACAACCCTCCATCACTCAGACCCAAAACCTGAAGTCATAAGAGCACTTATAGTTAAACTTACATGCACGCTTTACAGGCAGAGCTTCACACCATCATCAGGGAAAACTAAGATTCAAAGACAAGAACATGCACTATACATTTAAAATGTATTGGATTTGTTCTCAAGTTAATATTGAAATCCACATACAAAGCTAAAGTTCCACATTTCTCCAAATATTTTATATTCCTATCCTATATATATATTTAGGAGAAATGTGGAACAAATTTATATTTCAACTAAATTCACTTTTAGTTCACTTTAAAAAAAAACAAAAAAACTTTTGCTGATAATTTACTCATGTCAAGATGTCCATGTCTTTCTTTCTTCAGTCGAAAAGAAATGAAGGTTTTTGATGAAAACATTCCAGGATTTTTCTCCATATAATGGACTTCAATGGGGACCAAACGGTTCAAGGTCCAAAAGACAGTTTCAGTGCAAACTACAAACTGTTCAAAGGGCTTTAAACGATTCCAGACGATGAATAAGGGTCTTATCAAGCGAAACGATCGCTCATTTAAAAAATAAATAACAAAGTTTAAGTTTTATAAGCTCAAATGCTCGCCTTGCTCTGTTCTGTGACGCGCGTTCGTCTTCGAACTCGTTTATCAAAATGAACAAATCTTTTTCCGAGTCAATTCCTTCATTTCGTTTGTTGAATGAACCAATTGACTCGAAAAAGATTTGTTCATTTTGATAAACGAGTTCGAAGAAGACGAACGCGCATCACAGAACAGAGCAAGGCGAGCATTTGTGCTTATAAAACTTAAACTTTGTTATTTATTTTTGAAATGAGTGATCCTTTCGCTTGATAAGACCCTTATTCATTGTCTGGAATCGTTTAAAGCCCTTTGAACAGTTTGTAGTTTGCACTGAAACTGTCTTTTAGACCTTGAACCGTTTGGTCCCCATTGAAGTCCATTATATGGAGAAAATCCTGGAATATTTTCATCAAAAACCTTAATTTCTTTTCGACTGAAGAAAGAAAGACATGGACATCTTGGATGACATGGGGGTGAGTAAATTATCAGTAAAAACTCCTTTATCTGTGCAGTCACAACGACTACATCTTTAAGATAAACAGTCTAATTGTGGCCAACAAAATATATGGATTTTGTTGCTGCGTCTTTTTTATAATCATGCATGTGCATTTTGTTATTTAAATCTGAATGTCGCTCAGATGTTGATTCCAGGCGATGTTCATATTTACACTCATGCCTGTGGCAGCACTTTTCCCTGGGAATCGAACCAATGACCTTTACTTTGTGCTTTATTGAGCTCCAGGAAGGATGTTAGCTAATTGCTATTTATATCAATAGCTAATTATAGAGCTAGAACTAATTACCAGCGCGAATGTCTGTCCGATGACGTCTGTTTACTGTACCTGAACATGTTCCATGTACCTGTTTAAGGGTTACATCAGGTGTCACCACTAATGTAAGGATCTGTTCTGAGATCAGCTTGTGTGAAAACACTCGAGTGTGTGTGTCGTTCCTGTTGTCCCGACATGTTTGCTGACATGAAATATTCAACAGCGGCGTGGAGCCGACGGTGACATGGGGAACGATCTCCAGAGAGTGTGTTATGAAGCCTCGGAGCGTGTGTGTAACATTGATTGGCGAAGAACAGGTTTCAGGATTAATAAGAGCAGATAAAAGCTCTTTCTGATTGTGAGTTTCAGCACTGGAGCCTGTGGCTGAAGACGATGACTCAACAGTTCAGGGATATTTCATTCATTCAGTCTGCAGATACTGAAATAACAGCACTGTTATACACTGGGATACACTGAGATGCACATGCAGATGAAATCTGTAAGCCATAATCATCACAATTATAACAAATAAAGCATGTAATGAGTCTATATAATACATTAGTTTCACCTTTTAAGTTGAATTACTGAAATAAATGAACTTTTGCACCATATTCTAATATTTCCAGTTTCACCTGTATGCAAACTCAAACAGATTCTCATTGGTCATCAGTGTCTGCAGGTCAGAGGTCGTGTGCCGTTCCTCTGCAGGATCTCTGTGTGGATGCCGGATGAGTTCAGAGGATTGATCTGATTGCGGTGTAGCCGGTGGTTTGTGAAGATACGGCCAATAAAGTGCTGTCTTCCGTCCTCATATCAGATCAGCTCAGCTTTAATCCACACGACTCCAACATCATCCGTCTCCGGCCTGCGGTTCATCAACAACATGGACAATCTTCTGCAGAAATCTGGAGCTTCACACTGAAAAATCGACATTTAAAGACATTTAAGCTGTATTCATTACAGATGAAACTCGAAAAATTAGAATTTCGTGCAAAAATTCATTTATTTCAGTAATTCAACTTAAAAGTTGAAACTAATATATTATATAGACTCATTACATGCAAAGTGAGATATTTCAAGCATTTATGTGTTATAATTTTAATGATTATGGCTTACAGATATTAAACATTTTAACAATATTCTAATTTTGAATTTGAGGTTTTCATAAACTGTAAGAATTATAACACATAAAGGCTTGAAATATCTCACTTTGCATGTAATGAGTCTATATAATATATTAGTTTCACCTTTTCAGTTGAATTACTGAAATGAATGAACTTTTGCATGATATAAAATTTTTTCGAGTTTCACCTGTATTTAGACAATGGCCAAAAAAATAAAGAAAATGTTAAAATATCAATAAAATATTCATTTTTATAAAATATAAAATGGAGTATAATATAAAAATCATTAATAGTAACTTAAAATAGGCTATATTAATAATGAATATAGTAATACATGAATAATATCAATTTATATGAAATGGAGTGTGTATAATATATAGCACACATTTGGTATTGTAATATATACTGTATAGGCCTATATATATATTGATATTGATATTGATATTTGAGCTGTTGTTTTCACAAACTAATGTATTTATATATAAATAATCGGGATTAAAAAAATCTGAATAAAATTGACAAAAAATTCAGTGTCCACGTCATTGCGATACTATGATAAAAAAGCTTAATATAATTTGTATTTAAAATATTTATATATATATATTTGACCTGATATATGAAAGCATATGGGGAAATGAAGAGTGAGAGATTAGTGTCGGCCTGCAGCACCTGTAACTCCTCACACTCCTCTCCATCTGTGTGTGTGTGTGTACCGACGGGTCACACAGGAGGACAGCGCATTAATACACACATCTGCCTGCAGCGACACCAGCACCGCATGCCTGTTAAAGACAAGAAAACACAGTCCATTATTTAGTCAGTGGACGAGCCTGGTCAAGCCGGTCATTTTGTCTCTTT